TCATCACTTGAAAAAGTTGCAAATGTTTGTCCAAATATTGGTATTGTTTATTCTGGAATGGGACCAGACTTTAGAGTGTTATTGTCAAAGGCAAGAAAGGCAGCTCAAAAATATAAAAGAATATATAACAAGTATCCACCAACAGGAATTTTAGTTAAAGAAGTTGCTAGTGTAATGCAAGAATTTACTCAAATTAAAGATTTTAATATTTATTTTATAATAAATTCTATTTATGTTTATTAATATAAAATATATTTAAAAGTGGTGTACATCCATTTGGTGTATCTCTTCTTATTGAAACTGGTCCAGCATTATATCAAGTAGATCCTTCAGGGTCATACTGGGCATGGAAAGTATCTGCTATTGGGAAAAATATGGTTAATGCAAAAACTTTCTTGGAAAAATGGTATTAAATGGTTTTTATGAGTCATAAATATATTTATTTGCATATAATATTTATATTATAATATTTATATCTGATAATAATAATGATATTGGATTGGAAGATGCAGTTCATACTTCAATTTTAACATTAAAAGAAGGATTTGAAGGGCAAATGACTGAAAATTCAATTGAAATTGGAATTATTGGTGGTGATGCAACAGGATTTATGGAAGACAAAGAACAACCATTATTTAGAAAATTGTCTCCTTCAGAAGTTAAAGATTATTTGGCTAATATAGCTTAATAATCTTATATTATTTAATAAGTATAAAGTGAAAATTAAAAATATGCATACCAATTAACTTATTTTTCTGATGTTCATTTTCCCAAAAGTTGAGAATCTTTTTCTTAATATTTTCATCTTGATTTATATTATTTACTGATGGTGGAGAAATATTGTTATAAACAATCAAAATAATGAAATTTATATAATATTGTTCATTACATTACAAGTAGCAATGCTTCTAATTCTAATAATATTTTTTATTTTTTGTCTATGAAAAATATTGAAATTGTAATCCAACTGATTTTATTGGGGATAATCTTGAACTGAGATCTGCAATTACACCTAAACTAAACAAAATATTTCCATATCTACCCTCCCATAATAATTTAACATTCTATTAAACACATTAATATATATACATATATACATATTATAAATAAATAAAAGTAATCAGCAAAAATAATAGTATAATAATAATGATGATGACAATGTTATGAAAAGATTATTTATTTAAAGAAACCTTTGATGTTCCAATTGTAGCTTTAACTACACCATTAATATCACCTAGTTGCTTACTAGTTTCATCATTTCTTTCATCTGGTTTTTTTCTTTGCCACCATTCACCTCCAATCATCAGATCACTTTCATAACTATACATATTGAAATCAAACCTAGGACAAAGTGTCAAAACATCAGAAACTTGTGCAACATAAGCAGCTGACATATGTCCCATTATTGGATTAATTATGTAAGTAACAGTAACAGGTGCTTGGTTAGAATATTGAGGAAGAGTTCGATAACGAATTCCAACTGAAACTATATTAAAATAAATGAATAAATAAATGTTCAATTAATATTTTTTATTTTATTTTTTTTGATGCTCAGAAATAAAAAATTTTTATCTAAAGAAAATGATTCAACAGCTGCTGCACACACCTCCACCACTTTTTTCTCTTACCCCATAATATATTTCACCACCAATTGACCATACCCCCTTTAATACTTCAACTTCATCAACCTCATCAAGATCAGGTGATTTGTCAATAGTTTTTTTTTCAACATAATATTTTTTAGTGTCCTTTTCTTTTTTTGATAGAGCTTCTTGAACTTCTTCAATAACTTCTTTTTCTTCTAAATTATGACCTGAAAAATTGTATAAACCTCTAATACCAAATAATTCTCCATCAGTTGTATAAGAGAATTCATTACACCATTTTCCAGTATCATATTGAAGTTCTGCAGTAAGCTTAATTTTAAAATGTTTATGAATAACTAATAGAATATTATAAATATTTATGTTAAATGAGTAATTCATTAACTAATTACATGTGAGTCAGATCTTATCCTAAGATCATTAACACTTGTGATTACACACTGTATTCTTGATGAAAATCTTTTGGAATAAATGGCTTCAAGTCGTGTTGTGGGAATATGTAATCTTCCATATAGCAAATAATCTAAATATATGTATTTAATATTTTTTTTTTTAAATATCAGATAAAATCTTCAATGTCATTTATTATTTAATAAAAAATTCAGTGGAAAAAGTTTACCCTTAATTGGTTGAATTTCTTTTTCATTATTTGTATTTATATTTGGAATATAATTAACATTAAATCGATCAATTATTTCTGTAAATTTTAAATGACTGCTTAAATCAATAATTAAAGGACGCGAAGTAAATAAAAATCCCAAAGATCCATTTAATATTGGTGATGCATTTAATGAATATGAAGATTTAAAAAGTGATGTTTGGATTTTTGATATTGCAAAAGTAAAACCTCGGGGTATTTGAAAATCCAAAATAGCTATCAAAAGGAGACAATTACCTTTAATTAAATTCATATTCCCTCTAAAGACATCATGATAATAATGACAATATAAAGTACATAAGATTCTTACATTAAAGTCCATAAAGCTCACCTCGAGAAGCAGCACATAAATTTGAGTACTGGTTGTCATCATTCCAATCGGTAGCTTTAAAATATTGACGAAGACAATATTCCATAAAATCATGCATTTTTAATAAATTAAAAGTGATATACAATTATATCAAATCTAAAGCCGAATTGTGCCGTTCATAGCCAGTCAGCTGACTACAGTGCGGATCATCTATACTCAAAAGTTAAAATTTTTGAAATATTATGTGATCCACACATTGGATTTTTAAAAA